TTTTTTTTTTTTTTTTTTTTTTTTTTTTTTTTTTTTTTTTTTTTTTTTTTTTTAAGAGAAAGCCAAAGGTTGAACAATATTTTTATTTATTTAGCGGGAAAAAAACCATAAAACTAATTTTATAATAAAAATAAAAAACATTTATTAATCAAACATCGAAAGTAGTATTATATGGTATACTACGCTGACTAAAGATCGAAAAGAGTATAGACATTTATGTAAAATCTGTCGGCCTACCAAGTTCTTCATCAGATGGGAAAGAACTAGGAAGACGATCCTCGTAGCTTTCTAGCAAAGGAACAATCGTCTTTGAAGATCGTACGGAGCTTGTTCACGCCAGAGCATGGAGCTTGAGGTGTCTGGATCGAACTCGGATTTTGTCGACAATAATAAGAGGAAGAATTTGGAGGGCTCGACTGGTGATCGGATTCGCCTGAAGAAGAAGACTCTGCAGGCTGTGCTGGAGCAGTGTCAGAGATCTCTCGAATCGCTGAACGATTCCAGCGGTGTCGATGAAAACGAGGGGGATGAATATGAAGATGAAAGGCACGGTGAGGTTTCGGAATCTGTGCGGGGTGATCGAGAAGCCGACGAGGTACGGGGGTTTCCTATGGATCCAAAATTTTGTAGTTTCGGGGATTTTAACTGAGAATTATTTTATTGTATCTGAGTTAGGGTTATTTAGCACGATGATTACGGGTTGCCGTGTGAGGTTTTTAGCTGGAAATTCTTTGCTGAAAGTTGGCTTGATTTCTACTGTTTCTGATTTAGAACTTAGAATAATGACTTTGAAGATGCTATATGAGTGAGTTCTAAATAATGACTTAGAATAATTCTGTGCATTTTTCTAAATATGACTTTGTTTTGTACTGATATGTGAGATTGAATACCAGATGAGATGAACGACTTATGATTTTGATGTATTAGCGTATGGTCGTTTCTCATCTGCTGGAATCGAAGTTCTTTCTATGGATGCTTCACAACTCAATGGGTACTTTTTTCTGGTTCAGCTTGAGGATGCTCTACTCTACTGTTATACAGTGATGGGTATAGGTGTAAGATTGATTTGAAGTTGCCTATAAGGATTGGTTTTGAAGTTGCCTATAATGATTGGTTTGAAGTTGTCTGGAAGCAATTCATCGTGGAAATTGTTTTATGTTCGTCGTTCTTTCAGGATCTGTTTGTTTATTCTTTCATTGAAGTCTCTTATGCATGTAATGGGCATCAGCGAGCACTGTTCGTGGGCGTGGTCAAGTTGATGGGAAATTTGTTTTCATTTTTTTGGGAAGTGTAATTGGCGCAACTCAATTAGGTAGAGAAAATGTGAAATACAACTTCTTTAGGTGTTTTTCGAGGATGTTTGAATCACGTGCCAATTCAAGTAATATATGTAACAGCTCAAGCTCACTGCTAGCAGATATTGTTATCTTTGGGGTTTCTCTTCTAGGCTTTCCCTCAGGGTTTTAAAATGCATTTACTGGGGAGAGGTTTCTACATCTTTACAAGGAATGTTTCGTTCACCAATATGAGATTTCACAATAACATTCATTTGGAGAAAATGTGAAAACAACCTCTTAATGCCTTTTTCCTGCAAAGTGAAAGCTAGGATCCTCCATCCATTCATTTTCAGTCTTTCTAAGAAATGGGATTTTCATTGAAAAAGATTGAAGTACAAGAACAATTGCGAAGAACACTTCCCTTTTCCCTTAAATACCACCTACATAAAACTTCATGGATAAGCCCTCCAGTTGCAAGTAATCAAAAGGAGGGGTACTCTAAAACTTAGCTGTTAGTATTAGCTACCTGATAAATCCTTGGATGGAGTTGGATGTCTGAAATTCTTTTTATATGGGTTTCATGCTGTTTATATTGTAATTTGGTGCCAATTTGACTTTAAATTTCATGATCCATGGCATTGACTTGAAGACATCTTTCTGCAGTTGTGTGATCTACTTAAATCTAAAGTTGAGTGCCGTGACTTTCTTGAAAAGCTAGAGGATGCTCGAGCATCAGTTCCGCCAAACACTTTTGGTATATCTCCATAACTTAACCAGGCTTTATTAAGGAATTGCAAACAGATTGTAGTTCGTGCATGTGAAGATAGAAATTTAGAATTTACAGGACCATCTCATTCATTTGAGATGAAAATATTGTTTTATTTATGGCATGATTGGCGAATGTTTATTATTCATTTCATTTTATTTTTATTACTTCTCTTTGTAATGGTAGAAGAATGCAGTTCTTGGGACGTGGTCAGTGATATGGATCTATGGGAAAGTGGTGATGCTCTAGATCAAGAAGGATACATCGTTGTGAAGCAAGAGGATATAGTCGATGGCATTGCTTGTTTCATGGCTGCTTACTTATTGTCCTTAAAGGAAACCAAGGTATACTCACATGGCTCTCTCTCTCACACACATACATATGTGCTGTAAATACCAAAAATTGGGTGTTGGTAGTTTTAAGTGTCTTGGTTTACAATACCCCAAGATAAGTATATAATGGTTAAAGTTTGAGAAATTATAATTCTCTCATCCAGTTTCTGTAAATACCAAAAAGAACCCAACCTGGGGCTCAAGTCAAGTCTCCTTGGATCTCACATCAGAAAGAGCTCTCTCAATGTTTGGTGGAGTAACTTAATGTTGAATTGAGGATCTAACATTCTCGAACTCAGGCCTCAAGTCCATAAAAAACTTAGAGAGCCCCTTTACTCTATATTCTTTCAGGCTATTCTATGTTAGATGAAATTTTTCCCAACAAAAGCTTTTAGAATTTGAATCGATCGGTGCCCCTATCTTTGAAAGGAGTACCTCATGTTTAGCTGGTCCCATAGAAGCCTAAGCCTTCGGTAATAAATAGTATAGCACATTGATTTCCTGATTTGACCCCTAATTTCACACTATGCTGTGGGCTGTGGCAACTGGCCATTTATCTTTCATATCTATCTGGTCTTAGAAGAAGCATTATTTCTATGAGCTATGTGCCTACAATCAACCTTTTGATTGGATCTCATTGTTTTGCAGGAATTGTCACCTAACCAACTTCAGAATGGTGAGTCTTGCCGCACTTTCTTGTTGAGAGGATGTTTTTAGATTTCAGTAGATCCCAATCAATGTTGCAAAGCTCTGTAATGTGGGCTTGTCACCCAAATAAAGGCATTGAATTTCAATTGGAAGCTGGTTCAACCCATCAACCCCACCTTCTCCAAGTAGATCCCGATCAATGTTGTGGATGAATATGTTCCGAGGGTCTATGTTGAATTTTTTTAAAAAAATTTACACACTTTTCATATTGGAATTTAGACTACACTTCAAGCAATTTGGTTCTGGTCTGATTATATTTGAATCTCATGCAGCCCTTTGCAAAACATTCTCAGTGAAGAAAAGAAAAGGCAAACTCCGGAAGGCGTGGGATGGAAGCAAGGTCATTTATAATGTGGCATCCTGGGGAGCTACTGCGGTTGGGTATGTTAATCAACTGGTTTGACTGAATAATATCATATAAAAAAGTTATTGCATTTACCATTCGATTACTCTTTATTGTATGGACCACTAAGACAATTAAAACTGGCGTTGCTTGATGTGCTCCCTTAAAGTGTTCCTGTTTTTTTTCCCAAGGACAAACAAACGAATATGAGGTATAGAAATTTGAACCTCTGGCTTCAAAAGGAGTAGATATTGGTCATATCCAATATTGTTTTTCTGCGATGGTGCTGTTCTTTTAGTATAACCTGGACGAGCGTCAAGAGCTGCCCGTATGCTGTCGCAATTCGATGCCACCAGTTGAACTATATAACATTGTCCTTAAATTTCATGTTTCACATATTCATGTTCATACTAAAGGATTTTTGTTTATTTGTTTTTCCTTGTATTTACATCACTATAGAGAATCTGTATGCATATTAGCTTTAACATTTGAATTCCTTCCTTTGAAACGGGAAAAGGCAATATATTTCTCTTCTTCTGATACTTCCTGCAACTGATATGCACAGGCTATACCAGAACCCTGTGATTCTAAGTGCTGCTTCTAAAGCCTTCTGGACTTCCTGCCAAGTAATATCAAAGCTTCTCTAACATACCTTCTTATGTAAATATGCTCTGCTCAAGTGCAGTATCCGAAAGAAAATTTGTTGTTCTTTAGGCTTATTCTTGCATGCCCAGATTGATTAGTTCCTTGAAGAATACACTCTTGTAGATATCTTTTCTTTTCTGCTAGGATCTTGTTATTATTTGAGGAGATTTCTGTATCTATGCCAAAAACTATTATTTGTAGCTTGTTCCCACATGGAAACAAGCACTGCAACTTATGCAATATTGTTGATAGAGATTTATGTTTCCCAAATTGAGATTGTCCTGTGCTCTCTGCTATGTTGAACTGGATAGTAGATTTTCCAAACATTCAAATCTCTGTCTAATGAGATTATAAACTTGCAATTCCCAGTCTAGTTCGTGAATTTTAAGTAAACGTTGTATACTTTAACGAACGCAAAAGAGGTTGATTAAACATTCTTGTTATCCGTGCGCTTTTTTTTAAAATATAACGTGTCAAATATTTGTTTAAATTCAATAGGAAGGAATTTCTCCTATCAAGGGAGCTCTAGGGATTTAAGTTTTATCTCGTGGTAAGTCTAGTTAGCCCTACATACTACCAATGCTCCAATACGGGCTGCAACCGATTACGTGACCTTATACTTGAGGACACACAAGTTTGTCCATACCCAAGATTTGTTTCCTTATCCTCCTACATGCGTGCTTAGTTTTTCTTTTATAAAATTCATCATACTCGAGTCATTTTGTCCTACAACTTAAATCATGCTAGTTTAGCGGTTTAGAATTATTTTCAATACGATTTATAGCTATAAAATCATATGGAACATAAAAATTTGAAACCAAATAAATAGATATTTGAATTATTATGGACGATATTTTCAACTCACTTTGACACTGAGCTCAGAAGGACGCGGCATGTCGACAAGCACAGAAACTCGAAAGACAACGTGGACGAGCCAGCGGTCCACCGACCACATTCCAATCGCTTTAATCCTTCGGCCACGACCCACTCCCAATATTATCTGAAGCCTCCACCCTCCTCCACCTCTCACTCACTCTCCCTCTCTCTCTCTGCTGTGTTGCGATGTGGGACGATAGGCACGGTGGTTTGCCGGGCTCCGATCAGCCACAATCCGATCAAGAATCCTTTATTGACTTCGATTTCTTCGCCGCCGCGATTAAACCTAAGGTGATTGCTCTTTACGCTTCTCTCCCTCTTCGAAGTGTTTTTATTGGCCTTGTGAAGCTAGCTAGGGTTTTGAGATGGTTTTGGGTATTTTTCCATGTTGATGAACTTTCTGGGTTTTGTTCCGGTTTAGGATTATTACAAGAAGTTGGAGGTGGATTACGATGCAACCGATGATGATATTCGAGCCAATTACATTCGGCTGGCTCTGGTTCGTGAATTCGTGATCTCTCCACTCTATCTCCATTGCTTGTTTTTTTGGTTATCCGTTTTGATTTGGTTCTCATTTCAGTATTCTTGTTTGTGGGTGATAATCTCAACCGGTACTTGGAATTGGTTCCCTGCAGAAATGGCATCCTGATAAGCACAAAGATCAGGATAGTACCACTTCCAGATTTCAGGAAATAAATGAGGCTTATCAAGGTCGGTTTCCAGCTTTTAGTTTTAATGCATTTTACTGCTCGCATTACTTTACAGGTTTGCCTGCATTTTTCATCGCACGTCTTAGTCAGGGATCATGTATACTCGTCATTCGTGAGTTGGGTGGTGTGTGCTTTATTTGATCACTCCGCAGTAGTACAAATTGTGTCGTTTGTAATGTTTGTTTTGGAGGAGCAATTGTCATTTAAAAAAAAAAAAAAACTGGAGACAAAGAACATATCATTAGAGGAAAAATGGTACAAATAGGAGCCAAGGAATCAGCTTTTACCCAAGGGGATTGCGAAATATCAATGGTAATTGTAGGCTGTGGACTTCCATAATCGAGCGGCCTTGTGGTCGCTTACAAGGGAATCACACTGTGAGATCCCACATCGGTTGGGGAGGAGAACAGAGCATTGTCTATAAAAGTGTGGAAACCTCTCCCTAGCATATGCATTTTAAAAATCTTGAAGGGAAGTTTGAAAGGGAAAGGCCAAATAGGACAATATCTGCTAGCGGTGGGGTTGGGCCATTACAAATGGTATCAGAGCCAGACGCCGAACAATGTGCCAAGGTGGACGCTAAGCCCTGAAGGGAGTGGACACGAGGCGGTGTGCTAGCAAGGATGCTGGGCTCCGAAGGGGGGTCTCACATCGATTGGAGAAGGGAATGAGTGCCTGTGAGGACGTTGGGCCTCATAGGGGGGTGGATTGTGAGATCTCACATCGGTTGGGGAGGAGAACGAAACATTCTTTATATAGGTGTGAAAACCTCTCCCTAACAAACACGTTTTACTTGAAGGGAAGCGCAAAAGTAAAAACCCAAAGAGGACAATATCTGCTAGCAGTGGGCTTGGACCGTTACAAACCCTTCGAGTTTCTTGGCTGTCAAATAATGCAAAAGAGGCAAAAGTCCACAGTTTAGAACATGATAAACGTCGAGGACCGCAAGGATTTCCTAACCTGACAAAAAAATGTTAGTAGGTACCAATCAAATTGGCTCCATGCACTTCTGACTTCGCCTTCAAAGGTTCTATATTGGTAACATGAAGGCCTTAGAAGCTCAAGTACTTAGAGAAATGAAAGAAAAAAGAATGGGAAAGTTCTCATAAAACGAAAAAAAGTAATGGAAAAGTTAATTCTTTGAGGGACTTTATGGTAGTAGTTGTGGTGGGATATTAGTCTATGGAGGTCTGTTCGTCGAGCATGATAACCTAGTGCCGTTGCTATTTAAATTGAGTAATATCCATTAGTATGTTACTGGTTTGTTGTTGTGGGAGATGACAAACTTTTGGTTCTTCCATTTTCTCTTTTGGGTTGGGGTGGGGGTGGGGGTGGGGATGACACAAACGACTACCATCAGGAACAATGAAAGCACTAGAGAGGCTACGAAAATGGGAAAAAAGCTCACAAGTTACTTTACCAGGCTTAAATCACAAAGAGGATGATCCCACTTTCAATTCTACGGTTATTTTCTCTACCATTTTTATTATATAGCTCAACTGGTTAAGGCACATGCCCTCGATCAAAAGGTAGGTTTGAATCTCTCTATTCAATATGTTGTTGAACTAAAGAATTCAAGTTATTAACTAATGTACGGTTGAGAGATTCATTATTAATTGATGTATTAGCTTTGTTGTACGTATATTTTGGTGTGTTGAGTTCTTGCGACCTAGCCTGGTAGTTAATGTTAGAATCCTGGAAAAGAAGAAAGCATGAGACAAGTTCTGAAAACAATCACCTATCAGTCAGGTTTAACTTAACCTGCTGTAGTTTTGTGAGGTTGAAATGTGAAAGCAGTAGGGAATTCTTGTTGGGAAACTGATCTGAATTCACCATTAAGGTATTTCTTATATGCATTTGCTTGAATATCTTGGTGTGTTTAAGCATGTCTTTCATGCCAAGGAGGTACCAACCATCTAACTATCCTTGCATTTTCTCTTCCAAGCTAACTTCAAGGGCAAGCTTGGTGAGTTGGAGTATGGAAAGGGATGACTTTGTTGTTTCATGAGGAACCTACTCATTTCTTTCTATTAACTGTGGAACGTGTAAAAATGAAAGGAGTATGATTCTGTAATAGTCCAAGCCAACTGCTAACAATTATTGCCTGCTTTGGCCCGTTACGCATCGCCGTCAGCTTCACGATTTTAAAACGCGTTTACTAGAGAGAGCTTTCTACACCCTTATAAGAAATGCTTCATTCTCGTCTCCAACATCTCACAATCCACCCCCTTGGGGGCCCAGCCTCGCTGGCACACTGCCAGTGTCTGGTTCTGATACCATTTGCAACAGCTCAAACTCACCGCTAGCAGATATTGTCAACTTTGGCTCATTACATATCACCGTTAGCTTCATAGTTTTAAAATGCATCTACTAGGGAAAACTTTTCACACCCTTATAAAAAATGTTTCGTTCTCCTTTCCAACCGATGTGGGATCTCACAATCCACCCCTTTGGGGGCCTAACGTCCTTGCTAGCACACCTTTCGGTGTCTAGCTCTAATACGATTTGCAACAGCCTAAGCCCACCGCAAGCAGATATTATCCACTTTGGCCCGTTACATATCGCTATCAACCTCATGACTTTAAAACGTGTCTACTAGGGAGAGCTTTCCACACCCTTATAACGAATGCTTCGTTCCCCTCAACCGATATCGGATCTCACATATTCTCTAAGGATCCGGTAGAAAACCTATTTTAAACTAAAAACAATTAAGGGAATGCTTGAGAAAGCAGTCTAGAGGAACTCCATTTGTTCTACACCATCACAGACTCGATATCACATACTCAATGGGAGATCTATGGTTGAGTTATGGCGTGGAATAGAAAGTAGATGCACATTCTCTTTCTTTGTTAGTCCAGGCTGCTTTGAGTTTTTAATTAATAATCTCTAAATCTCACAAAACACTTCAATTATTCATGGACAGTTTTGAGTGATCCCATCAAGAGGAGAGAATACGACAACAAAGGCATGCTGTACAAATATGATTACACCGTAGTTGTAAGAAATCCCCTCCCCTCTCTGCTACTTTTTACCACAACACCAACCACGCCGTCCATTATTCTTATGTCTGTAACTTATTACGTTTTGTGCAGGAATATCTCAACCGTTTCAAGGGGCTTATATTGACTTGTAATGGCCTCGGAATTAAGCATTCCATTGGGTAAAAAGCATAAACTCCATTCTTCCTAAGCATCCCTGTCGGTACACATGGGAACATTTGGCCTATTCTCTATCAATCTGGCTTACACATGACAGCTCCAGCGGCGCACCTCTGAGCCAATGCTTTCCCCTTTCTGCTACCCGTCTCTTCTTTTGTTCTGATCTTTGTATAAATATCAAAACAGAAACCCTTCAGATTTGTATAAAGAAAGAAACAACTCTTCATTGATGTATGAACAGGATGAACAAGTTTGAGCATAGAACGAAATAAGCCCAAAAATGCCCAGAATCTGCAATAAAGAGCTCCCATTTTAGCAGAAAACTTTTACTTTTCAAGTTCTTGATATGTGGCCTTCAATCTCTCATGGTTTGTTCTTGAAGTTGTTGATATTGTAGCCTCAGAATTCTCTGTGGGACACCCACAGAAAAGAGTGCTACCCATTTGCATAATGAGTATGCATGAATGTTGGTTTTGTATTTATGATTGAAAGTTATTGAAGCATTATTTATAAGGATGTGGAAACATCTTCTAACAAACGTGTTTTAAAAACTTTTAGGAGAAGTGCGGAATTGGAGAGGATAACGAAACATTCTTTATAATAATGTGAAAACCTCTCTTAATAGACGTTTTAAAAACTCTAAAGAGGACAATATCTGCTAATAGTAGACGAGCGATTACATATAAATTCACTAAATTTTGTTGTTGTCTCGAAATCTCTTTATGACATTACTTTTTCATACTTTTTTGTGTTTGATTCATAGTTGTTTTCATGCATGAATGAAATGAATGTAGTTGATATCTATTCTTTTTTTTTTCACTTTTAGAGAAGCACAAATCAAATTCAAAAGGAAAAAAAAATGTTTTTAATAATTATTTCATGAATTTTATTTTTTTAAAAAAAATGCTTTTCTTCCAAAAGAATAATTATTACTGGCCAATAAACGTATATTTTTATTATCTTAGAGCTAATTTTGTAGATTTTTGAAATAAAATAGGAAAATAAATGACGTGGCAATGTCGTGGAGGGTATCCTTCCATTTCTTGCCATGGAGGCATAATTAATTGAAACGCTACCTCATAATATGATTGAAAATTATTAAAAATAGAAAAAGATGTGTCAGCTTTCTCTCTCCTTGCATTTAAATGAGCTGGCAATCCTCCTCAATCACCTCGATGTCATCGTCACTACCTTTAATCCAACGGCTCTAACTTATCTCTTATTCTACATTCGCCGCAGTCTATTACAGCTCTTTTTTTTTTTTTTTTTTTTTTTTTTTTGGGTTTTAAAGCCGCCCGCGGATCTTTACCACACGGCGAAAACGCTAATCCCTCTCCTTTTCTCTTTGTATCCTGTTCTTCTGCTCGCCGGAGTTCAAAAATGGCCACCGCCGTGCCGGAAAATCTCTCTCGTGAGCAATATGTGTACCTAGCAAAGCTTGCTGAGCAGGCCGAAAGATATGAGGAGATGGTTCAGTTTATGCAGAAACTTGTTCTTGGTTCAACCCCAGGCTCCGAGCTCTCTGTGGAGGAGCGAAATCTTCTCTCTGTCGCTTACAAGAACGTGATTGGCTCACTTCGAGCCGCTTGGCGGATTGTCTCCTCCATCGAGCAGAAGGAGGAGAGCCGTAAGAATGAAGAGCATGTTGTTCTTGTTAAGGATTATAGATCAAATGTTGAGAATGAGCTTTCCGAGGTCTGTGCGAGTATTTTGAAGCTTTTGGACTCGAATCTTATTCCCTCCGCCACTGCTAGTGAGTCTAAGGTCTTCTACTTGAAGATGAAGGGGGATTACCATAGGTATTTGGCGGAGTTTAAGGTTGGGGATGAGAGGAAAACCGCTGCTGAGGATACTATGCTGGCTTATAAGGCTGCTCAGGTACTTTTGGCTTAGCCTTTTTTTTTTTTTTTTCTTTTTTGGAATTATTGAGATATTTTTGAATTGGTGCTGCTTTTATGGACCAGTGAAGTTGGACATTTGACTTGTGAATTGACTTTGAATTCTGAGATAGTACCGCTACGAACATCCCTACTTATGCGATCCATCTCTTACTGTTGATAGTTACAGCCTTCTTCTTCCACAGAAATTAAATCTTGATTTATCCTGGTTTCAGATCGAAGACGATTTTCTTTTTAATTTATTACTCGGTTCTTCATTGCTGTTCTTGTGGGATCTCCAGTCTCCAAGAAGTTTCTATGTCGTGCCTCCTTAGTGGCTTATTTTAATAAATTGAATGAAGACATATTAGGATTTTTTTTATTCTATCATATGGGTGCTTGAGATTGAACTATTCTGAATTCTGGTTTTGCATTTGTTGAATTTTATGCTATGAAGGATGTTGCAGCTGCAAATCTTGCACCCACTCATCCGATTAGGCTGGGGCTGGCACTCAATTTCTCTGTGTTTTATTTCGAGATTCTGAATCAGTCCGACAAAGCTTGTAGCATGGCTAAGGAGGTAAATTTGATCCTTCAGTTTGTTTTCATTCACCTATTTCTGGTTCATATGGCTCGTTGTACATTATTTCTCCTCTTTGGTTTATCTCTGAGACGAAGCGTGGGCTAATTCTGGCACTCTTTTGCATGATCACTGGGGCCTTGTTTCATGGATCTTTGTCATATTGTATTTTTTCTGGGTTGTCAAGTGTTCCTAATGCGTCAGCTAATACTATTACTGCGGCGAATTGGTCAAGCTATTGTCTTCACATTACTTGCTTAATGTGTTTGCAAGTAACCTTCCTTCTAAAACTTGTTCAGCATCACACATCCCACTGTACCCATGAAACAATTTTACGTGGATCTTACAATTGCAGGCTTGCATATGCAGATTTGGACATGTTTGTTTAATATGCATCTTCTTTGACCGATGATTCAAATAGTTCACATTGTTGCATTTGTTTCTGTATCACTCTTCTTTAACTGAAGTCCAGCTTTCAGGAATGTATCATGCTTATTAGTGAAATAATGTCATTAGGCTGGTTATGTCTACCGTAGATGATTGAATCTGTGACTGAATGTGATTCATGTTTCAATTCACCTCCTTTCGTTTGTTTGCTTCGATACATGTCTCGTTTGAAGATTCATCCACTAGAATCCTATTTATATAATATCTATTATATCCATGATAAATATATAATAAATACGATTCCCTCTTTCCGGATGACAATCCCAATAACTGTTGGATTTGGATTTAAAAAATCTCTATGCCCCCTAATTATCTTTAGATGTAAATTTGAGATACTTTCTTTCCTACATTCAATGGTGGATAATTCTTAGCCACATTGTTGAAGTTTCATCGAACAAATTCTCGGTTGGTTGAAACCTTGGAAACTGTTTGCCCATGTTACATTTTCTTGATATCACTTTTGGTTTATTTTCATATCCCCTTTTTTGCTATAACTTGCTTGACACAGCACTACCGTAAAATTATCTACCTCATGACCGTAGTGTAAGTGCACTTACAAGCGTTATGCTTCCCAGTCTATCGTGTATGTTACTCATCTTTCTTATGCTTCTGATCAGGCATTTGAGGAAGCCATTGCTGAGCTAGATACTTTGGGTGAAGAATCATACAAGGATAGTACCCTCATCATGCAGCTATTGAGGGACAACCTCACTCTCTGGACTTCAGATGCGCAGGTCAGTAAACACCATCCACCCAGGGAAAAAAAAAAAGGAAGGAAAGGATGCCTTTTCGTTTTGATTCCTAGTTACAGTATCTATTTGTCCCCTCGGTTTCAAAATGTTACATTTAATGCTCAATTTTAATACTTGACATTAACTTTTAGTTAATTAATTTAAAATAATTATGATGTGAAATTTTTTTAATTAATTTTAATAGTAATGAAAAACAAAACTTGTAAAAGTGTAACCTTTTGAATTCTAGTAGAAAAAATTATTCGAGAAACTCAATAACTAAAAGTATATTTTTTTCCAGAAGAAAACCCACAAAGCCCAATTTGCAGTCCCTACTCCCGTTTATTATCAGGGCATAACATTAGTGAATATATTGACTCTTTGCAGGACCAGTTAGACGAGTCATAGAAGGCACCATAAGCTCGACCACCTGTCCTGTGGTTGTGGGGGGAGGGGGGAAGGGGGTGTATGGAGGTGGGCTTCAAATGTCATTTGCTTATAATAGCTATTTTAAATGTGTGAATTTGGAAATTAAACGCATTAGTCTGTGAATGATATGTCTTGATCCATAAATTTGGTGGGTTTTACTTGAAAAGAATCAGAATGAAGAATACATTTTTAGCTTCATTTGCTTCTTGCTTAATCTCAAGTTCTGATATCTATGGGGAACATGGCATTTAGAGTGACCTCCATTAACGTGCTTTATACAGGACTGGATAGTTTGTCTGAATGATTGAATAACTGTTACAGGTCTAACCTTATCAGTTCAATTGAGGCACATAAATTGGCCTTTGTGTCTGGTAGGCCAGTTTAGTTTCAGGCCTTCCTTTAAGCTTTAGCTGGGGGGGTGGGGGCCTTCTTGATATTATTGTGTCCTTGAAGTAGTGGTGTCTGGCTGCTGGTGTGTGCCTCTCCCTATCCATCTTGCACTTGTTAGGAATCAAAGGTTATTCTTTGTGTACAACTCGCCTCTGCAGTGACCATTGAGATTGTTTCTTCAAGCATATTTAAAACAAAATTCTAATGGAACTGTGGAAATTTCAGCTAGTTTCCATGGAGTTCATCAATGGAGGAACTATCCTATCACCATTGGAAAGTAATCCAATGTATAATAATGTAAAGTAACGAAGGAGGATAGCTTTATCAAATCTGACTCGAGCTGAGGATTTTATCTTACAAAATTGGTTTTGGATTCTACCCAGATCACATAATTTGGCTCCAAGATCATAAAAAATCCCACATCCTTGTAGATTTAATGATGAAATCAGTAAAACAACAACACATCAAAAAGAGTTTTTGATCACTACCCTCTCAGCAGAACTCTTCTTCATAACTCCTCTAGAGCACAATTCATCAAGCAACTCCAATGCCTCCTTGGCTAAACCTTCATAGGCCAACCCCTCAATAAGAATCATGTACGAAGCCTCGTTCGGTTTACAGCCTCTGGCAACCATCGATGCCAAGAAATCGATGGCACGAACAGTTTGTTGAACCTTACAGAGTCCTAACATGATAGAGTTGTATGTGATAACATTTGGCCTCACACCAACTTCTTCTAGATCATGGAAAAATGCAATTGCTTCATCAACTTTTCCTTCCCTGCACAGTCCTCCAATGAGCGACGAGTATGTAATTATATCGGGTTTGAGTCCTTTTTCCTTCATCTCGTCTAGAAGTTTAACAGCATCTTCTGTTTTGCCTGCCTTTGATAGCCCATCAATCACTGTGTTGTATGTAATCAATACAGGAGAGCAACTTTTAGTACCAAGTTGATTCAGTATCTCAACAGCAACATCTACCTTCCCATCTTTACACAATGCAGTCAATAGAGTATTATACGTCACAATATCAGGGTAACAACCTCTAGAAGCCATGATATCCAAATACTCGATCGCCCGCTCCATCTTCTTCTCTTTACAAAACCCATGAAGCAACGGGTTGTAGCTCGAGGAATTCGGAGTACAGCCATGCTGTGGCATCTTCTCCAAAATATCAATAGCTCGACCCAACAACCCCTTTCGACACAAGAAATTAATCAAGATATTGAAAGTAACAACACTAGGAGAACATCCCTTACGAACCATTTCAGCCAACAGCTTCTCGGCATCCGTCCACCTCCCCGTACTACACATACTACGCAAGATGATGTTATGAGTGATTACATTAGGTTGGCAGCCATAAGAAGACATTTCATTCAAAAACTCAATAGCTTCATCCAACCTTCCTTCCTTGCAAATCCCATTTATAAGAACATTGTAAGTGACAACATCAGGCTTACATCCTTTCTCCCTCATTTCATCCAACAATTTCATCGCCTGCCCAACTCCACTCTCCTTACAAGTTGCTTCAATCAATATAGTATAAGTTATTACATCAGGATAACACTCCCTCTGCAACTGTCTATGAAGAACTTCCATGGCTTCCTTCAACTTCCCACTGTCACAGAGCGTACGCAAGATTATATTATAAGTAATAACATCAGGAGAAATACTCATTCGATCCAAAAGTTTCAAAGCATTGTCAATTTCACCAGATTTACAGTAACCACTAATAAGAACATTGTAAGTTATCACATCAGGAACAGCCCCAGAATCCTCCAAAATTTCCATAACTCGAGCAGCCTTTCTAGTTTTTCCAGTTTTACACAAACCACGAATCAAACTAGTACACACAATTGCATCAGGAATATCACCACGATAAACCATACCCTCTATGAATTTAAACCCTTCTTCCAATTCCCCATTTCTTACCAGTCGACGAAGATGATTATTGTTCTCAAATTCCTCAAAACTCTGCGAATGATTCGAAGAAAATGATGAAGAACTAGAGCCATTCAAATGGGTGTGAAGATTTTTCTCCCCCTGTTGCAAAGGATTCTTCAGAACCGCACGAACAAAGGATTCTTCAGAACAATCAGAAGGAATAACAAGAAATCGAGGTTTCCCTTTTCCTCCCACAGAAAAACTTACAGAATTGGTCTCCGGAGTAGCCCTTCTTTCGGCCCTAACATTACGGCTGCTATTTTTGGTGCTGCGACGCTGAAACAAACAGAATCCATCCGTGTAATGCTTTGCATGCAACGTTATATCCATACTCCTCCAACTTGAAGGAAACAAAAGGGTTTTGATCCTTCGAGATCCACTTTAATCGACTGTGAAGAAATTGAAGAAGCGGAGGCCAATGGGGCCTTGTTTTTTCAGTGTATGAAAGGGCAGAGATTGAGGGTTTTGCAAAAAGAGAGAACCAGAGAAGGGGAAACTTACAGAGTGTAAAAATTGAAGAGGGAAAGATGGAGGTGGGAGAGTGGGGAGGCGGCGTGTTTGCTTATCCAGTTTCTGGGCCTGTCGTCGTCCAGGAAAATAATTATGACGCAAGCACGATGATAAAATTATTTTTATGCCTTTAGTTTATTTAATGAAAAAAAAAATCACCTATCAAATTAATTATTATGTCAAATCATCGATTAATATATTTGAAAGTTATTTTATATATAATCAAATAAATTACAAGAATATAGGAGGAGTAATAAATAGAAAGATATAGTAACCCGACAAATATTAAATATCAAATATAATATATATAGTAAACTATAATTTATTACTAAATATTCTTAACCCCAATAAATGGAAAGATACCTAGAGTAACAAGGCAAATGTTAGATATCTAATATTTGTCTTATAATAAAATATCAAATATAATATATATGGTAAACCATAATTTATTACTAAATATTTTTAACACCCCACCGCAAGCTAACCGTCGGATTTAAACGAACCTAAAGCTTGAATCTGAAAAATTCAAAGAGAGGTTGAGAAACACTTTTCGTGAAGATGTCAATAACCTGGTTCAGAGGAGGCGTAGAGAAACACTTTCTTGGTCATCAAAAATTGCAAAGGGTTAGCGGTGATGCTGCCTTGGCTTCGGCTAGAATATGTTTAACCCATGAAGAGAGATTGTCACTTAGCGACGATGTTGCCTTGGCTCTGGTGAGAATATGTCTAACCCCAAGAAGTAGAAGGGGAAACCTCTAGCAACTGACAGACAAGGTTGAAGCTAGAAGAGTCACCACATTGGGCGAAGGAGCCAATTTTGGCGAGAAGGGTAGTTAGAAGAGTTCGCCACAATGGGCGAAGGGGCCAATTTTGGCAGGAAGGGCGGCTGTAACTTGGTTGGTGAAGAGCCTAGTGCGGCACCTAGATTCCGAAGGTAAATCTCTGCAAAAGGTTGATGGTCTTGTCTAGATTCCATATATTTCTTAAGAGAACATTGATGAAGATCCTTAAGAGAACATTGATGAGGATCCATGAGATTAGGGTTTCTGTACATTGGTGAGAATCCCTGAGATTAGGGTTTAAAGGGTTGATTGGGAAGGAACTCCCTGAGATTAGGGTTTAAAGGGTTGATTGGGAAGGAAATGAGAGAGACTATATTAGCCCATGGGAAAACCGATTGGGTTGAAAAATGTGAGATTGTATGTACAGATTATGACTAAAGGTGATTTGGAGGTCAATAGGGTAAAGCCGAAGAGTAATCAATCAGTTTCGCCTACGGCAGCCATGAAGACTACCCCTGCGGCGTCAAAGCCAGTAGGTGGTGGAGAAGAAGATTAGAGGATTCAAAGAAAGAATCGGAGTTGTTAAAACGAGAGGGCTCTGATACCATAAGAATGTTTGATTAATTCACCACACATAACACATAAGGTGTAAAGATATCTTATTTATAATCAAATAAATTATAAGGATATGAAAAGAGTAATAAATAAAAATAACAATAAATGGAAAGATAAAATATCAAATATAATATATATGATAAGCTATAATTTATTACTAAATATCTTTAACACTATCACATTTTTATTCTCCCTCCAATCTTATTGATCATCCACAAAAAATTTAGTATGTTTTCTAACTACGGAAAACGAGTTAAATTTATTATATAGTTTATATTGAGCTATCCAGCGTAGGTTATGGAGTCTAATGATTATTTATAATTTGGTTATATATTTATTATATATGGTAAATGACATATAAACCTATATACAGTAGATGATAGTAAACTAAACCAGTTATAGACTAATCTGATAAAGGTATATATATAGTTGGGGTGTTTGAAGATGTACTTCCCCATCAATATAAACCTCCAACAAATATTTCTCCTATTTTCTCTCCCCTGTTCTTTGTATTAACATCAAGAGATCGGAATTATGAAATTAATTTCTAAGAGCATCACCTTAAGAATCACAGATCTCTACAATAGTTTTACTTTGAGCATAAATTCTCATGGTTTTGCTTTGGGCTTCCCAAAAGGTCTCATACCAATGGAGATCTATTACTTTAATTATAAAGTGATGACCATTCTCTAAATTAGTCACGTACTCACTCCCAACAATCCTCAACACGGATTCATTTCTTTTTATAAGGTAGGGAAATAGTCATCCGAGATAACAAGCAGGTTTACAAGTTTTTGAACGGTACTGTTCTGGTGGAAATTTTGGAGATATTTTATGTGCTTGGGTGAGATATAAACATAGATTCTTTACAAGCCTATTAACATATTCAACTGTCAAAATACTCATATGAAGCTAATTTGAGAAAGTAGGATTGAGAGAATAACCAGATGATATCGATGAGCTTCAGGCAAATACCAAGACAGTTTAATGTCGACGCCATTGTTGCTTCTCTATTCGGCGAAAGAACGGCACGACGTCGATCTACTAATTTGCAAAGAGATGTTAATAAAACTAGATGATGGTAATATACAAATGTGTAGGATTTGTTCTCTTCACTACTGTAAAAGAAGGGCAGGCAAGGTCTAATTAATTAAAGAACGGTAAACATATCTCAAAATCATACTGCTTTGGTCTTCCTTTGGTTAGATAATTCATACAAAATCAACGTTTCTTACTCTTGTTCTTGGCGATCCTTGATTTGCTGGTGTCAATTGAAGGTTTCCAGATGATATCTTCAAGATTGCTATATAAGCTCTTGTAGAACTGCATTTAACAAATAAGTAGGGTAAAAGAATTCTGGATGTTAATGATGTTGGGATATGGAGCCTGATGCGTTAGAGATATATTTGGAAGATATTTGTATGATAGAGATATATATGGTAGATATTTGGTAAAGATTTGAGAGACATATATTTGAAACCATATATATACCCCTAGGTATTCTCTCGTCACTGAAGTCTCAATAATAAAACATTAGCCAATATTCTTCCTTGTATTTTCTCTCTCTGTTCTTTGTGTTCATTTGATGAGTGTGAGTTGTTGAGCGATCTTAACAATTGGTATCAGAGCTAACAATTGGTATTGATCCTAACAAATGTACTCGCTAGTTTCCCCTGCTGCTTTCTTAATGTCCACCATAAACTATGTGGGAGCAACTTCAAAAATCTATGGGAAAAATGATTCCGATCAAAATCCTTAACAGAAAATGGAAATTGTACAACTTTTTGGCAGAAAAAGATACAGCTTACTTCCATAATGACTGAGAAATACGAAGTTTTGCTTGCTGATGGACCTTCTACTCTCATCTGATATTTGCACCAGAAACTTTGAAAAAATTAGGTTAAATTACGAGTTTAATTCTTTAATGTTCAGATTTGTTCGTGTATATTTGATCTTTGAACATTAAAATATGTCAAATAGTTTATCAAACTTTCAAGACAATGTTTGATAAGTCTTTAAACTTTAACACGTGTCTAATAAGTTCTTAAACTTTGAATTTTGTGTCTAATAGGTCATTTATCTATTTGATATTTTACAAAATTCATGAATCTATTAAGGCGAATTGAAAATGCAGTTCCATTAAACATAAATCAATTAATTTTTAAAAGTTACAAATATATCAAGAACCTAATAGACGTTATTTAGAGAGATTTTTAAAACTCCTAGACTATACTTATAATTTAAGTTAGATTATGGAATACTGAACTTCTAATTTAACTTAGGATTATGCAGAACAGGAGGAAGCTGGCTTATTCCATGTGTTTATAACGATAAGATGGGTAGCCAGACAGGGAGGGGCATGAAGTTGAATTGCAAGAATTCAGGTAAGAACTAACCAAATGTTTACCTTGTAATTGCGAATGTGCGTCTTGAAACCCATTGATTGAGCTACAACTTCCACAGTTGACAATAAAACCTTTGCAGGCTTCTGGCTGACAAAGCGTGTTGGGTACTTCATAGAATCCTACCATGATCAGAAGAAATTCAACAATCACTTTTCGAGCAAGATGTGCATATTACGATTTCTTATACAAACATATTTTGAAATGCATGATATTGCGAGTCTGAAATAAGGACTTTACATGCTTAATGTTGTGTTGGAATACAAGAATAAAAACAAATTAACAATTTGTAGTAGCTTTTAGCAGAATCAATGGAGGCAAATTGGCTCTATATGGCTCCATGTTTTAGATGAAAAAAAGGAGTTTAATAAAACACAACCATACCTGGCCACGGTCAAACATCGCTCCCAGGTTTAAGCCTTGAGATAGAACTATTAAATCAAATGCATCAAGGATCAGAGGGCTCATTTGCTGCTCGTTTCCACGTTGTTCCTCGGTCCTTTGTTCCTATGGAAAAATTTTGTGAGACAGGAGTAGATAATAATAACCACCACACTTGAACGCCACCACCTTCAACCACGTATTTACAACAATTAGGATTTAAATAAACTGTCTGTAGAGACTAAAATTTAGAGACTAAAATCTTAGCATAGGCAAAAAATATAAACCAAAAGAAAAGGAAAAACAATCCTTGTAAAAGGACATAAGCACATAATGTGAGCTTCTATGTCTCAATAATGGGGAAACTATGTTGGTAGACAACAGGTTGGCTGGAAACATTTAACCCATAATAGTAAATTCATCATTTTTATCATGGATTTATTTGAAAGTAATGAATGGATAGGAACTAAAGTTATAGCTAGGTGAGATGGCCGTGATGATATGATATTTGTTTATATATAGCTTTGCTTTGGGCTTCTCCAAAAGACCTCATACCAATGGAGACAGTATTTCTCACTTATAAACCCATGATCTTCCACTAAATTAACCAATGTGGGACTCACTCCCAATAATCCTCAACAAGAGCTTGCCAACAAATGATATGAAAATAAGAATAGAATCCCTAACTAATCTTCAAATTTAACGATACCCAGAGTTCAATAAATCCCAGTTCACAGATGCCAATATAGTACTCTAATCCTTACCAACCTCAGGATCATCAAAGACAGCCTTCACATCATCCAGGTGTAAACATCTTCGTCTTCGAAAAGTTTGACAGAAACATAATTTTTCTTGAACCATTCATCCTCTCTGACCTGTTCGATGGTAATACGCTACACAGACAAAAAGAGAAACTTATCAGAAAGTACTAGTACCCAAATAACGAGACTGATAGCAACAGGACATATAAGGTTGAGAACAACGAAAAATTTTAGTGCACTATTGTAATGAGCCTGCTATCAGTTCATGAGGTATTAAAGAAAACAGGGTTATCATGAGTTACTAATAGGTCTCTTTCCTTGAGCAATATTGTGGTATGAAACTTAAGGACATTCTAGCTTTGCAGTACTGAAACTTGCAAGAGCATTTATACAACTAAATAATCATAATGTCTGCTACATCTATTGGCTCAAATGGAAATATAACATAAAAACATAGTGGTCCTGGTAATTTGTTCCATCATTCAGATATTGGAAGAAGAAATGTTACCCATTTTTTTTAATGAAGTAGCTGAAATGCATAGCAGATACAATGGACTTTTTCTTTTTTCTCGTACTCAGACAGTAAAGTGAAGGCATAGCGAATGTTCAAATGCTTCTGTATAGAGCACGTCATGTTCGGCAATCCATACTTACAGTTGAAGGATTGGGGTCAAATATTCTATGGATCAAGCACAGGGAACCAAGATGGACATGAAAAGTCAGCTCTCTCAATCTGTTGAAGGGAAATGGCAATATTAGTCGATCATTCAAGTGCATGTTGAAATGATATTTCATTGTAAGTTAACCTAAAAGAGTCTATGAAAGCCTCTCATATCCAAATTAAATCCAACCAAAATAGACATGACAATACATTGTCTTACAGCTTAACTTCTCCCACTGCATGATTAAGATCGAACCAAAAGGCAAGCTTATAAATGTCATCATCAACTTATAAAAATTTTGGTTTAACAAGCTTTTAAGATACAACCATAAATACCTCTGGTGCTACATAGTTTGGAGTCCCACACGTTGTGCGGAGTAGGTTAACTCCCTGTCAGGAAATACAATCAACTATTTGTTGTTTCTACAAACTACACAAGACGTCTATATCTAAGTAAATAAGAACCATTAAAATATGTCTTACTTGTTCAGGCAATGCACTCAGACCAAAGTCTGAGATCTTTAAATTACCTAGGGAGTCGAGTAGCAGATTCTCAGGTTACTCAAAGAAAAAAAGAAAATGATCAGATTCTTGTTTTTTTTCTTTTCCAGATCTCAGCAAGAATATTTTCTCCACGGGCTCAGCCAATAAACCTTTAAATCTCTGTGGTATACTCCCTTGCTGTGGCAATAATCTACACCATCAATTAGCTGCTGGAAGTACTTCCTGGATTCAGCTTCACTAAGCCGGCCATGATGAACCTGCAGGGTATGGATTACATCATGAACTATTAGGATATAAAATAAGCAATAGTTTCAAAACTTCAAGCAACTCATCTTCCTTAAGCAATAATGCTATTTATTTGAATTACTCACTATTTTGTCAAACAATTCACCACCAGTAATGTACTCCAAGATTATATAAATCTTAGTACGGCTTGCAAGAACCTACAAGCCAAAATGGATACTGTATCCAGTGTTAAACAAGAAAAAGGAAGTTCAAACCCAAGCTCTTGACAAGAGGCTAAAAATAATTGAGAATAAGTACTTCAGAAAATTAATCCATGCCTAGTGAAGACGAACAACGTAAGGGTGCCTCACAAGCTTCATGATAGAAATCTCCTTCTTTATCTGCGGAATATTAGTAACAGTTTATAGAAGAAACGCTAGTAACTTCACAGGATCAAATATTGAAAAAGCTTTGGATTGCATTCCAATAAGATTATAAGAACTATAAAGTTAATCAGTAGAAGATTGAGGATCGAGCTTAAAAAAAATATATGAAGAACATTGGTAGGACAACTTGTAACGCAAACATTCAGAAGCTTATGATATAAAAATGTCTAGCTCAATCAAGCATACATCAAAATACCTGCCAGTTACTTTGTTTTTCAAAGATAGCATCCGTGTATGAATTTTTTTTTACAACTGTTGCATCACCGACCAATTATTTACACTACTCAGGAGAAAGGAGTACAGAAGCTACAGATGGATAGAGTTTGTACCAAGAACAGTAAGATTCCCCATCCGATAATATTTGCAGCTTTAATCAAACGGTATAAAGCAGGCAAATAATTTCTCTACACTCAAACTTCAAGACAACAAAAGTTCATTTTTCTCCTCTTCATTCCCTAAATTAACCGAGGTGAGACTTTCATCCAACACCTCCCCTCAAACAAAGTACGGACTTTCATCCAACACCTCCCCTCAAACAAAGTACGTCTCCCCTTAATCGAGGCTTGACTCCTTTTCTTTTAGAGTCTTAGTCATTTTTTACTATGCCTTTGAGGCTCACAATACTTTGTTCAACATTTGAGGATTCTATCCATATGGCTAAGTTTAGGGCATGGCTCTGATACCATGTTAGATGAACACGACTCTCCACAATTGTATGATATTGTCCACTTTGAGCATAAGCTTTCATGGCTTTGCTTTGGGCTTCCCCAAAAGGCCTCATACCAATGTAGATAGTATTCTTAGATTATAAACTCATGATCAGTCCCTAAATTAGTCGTTGTGAAACTTTCATCCAACAGCAAACTCAGCTGAATCTTTTAGCTCAATCGGCATCATTAGCATTCACTATGATACTATATATCATCTAATTCAACAGTCGACATCATTGAAGCATGTAATCACAGCCAATACTGTTTTGATGGCTATCTCTGAGACATTCTAACTTAATACATACTCAATTTTATTATCAGCTTCAATTGGTAGCTGCAGTAACTCCGAGAGTCACAGAATTGAAAAAAATTTGCGGTTGGATGAAAAGAAAATTTCCACATCGGCTAATTTAAGAATTATCGTGGATTTATAATCTAGGAATACTGGCACCATTAGGGGAAGTGCAAAGAAAAATCATGAAAATTTATGCTCAAAGTGGCAATAACATAGCAAAGCAAAGCTATGAAAGCTTATACTCAAAATAGACGATAACATAGCATCGTGGAGAATCATCTAGCGAGAACATATAAATCAAATTCCAAAATCGATTCCTCTCAATTTAACTCTAGTTCTCTGCTAAGAATAAGAACGAACATATTTCCACTCCTTAGAACAAAGATTAGAGAGAAGACAAAGACCTGATCGACCATCTTGTGCTTGATTATGGTGCTTCGGTCGAGGACTTTCATAGCAACACTCTCACCAGTCTCAGTGTTCTGAGCGAACTTCACCTCTGCAAAAGTACCTTCCCCAATCGTCCTTCCGACCTCGTAAATGCCGACTTTTCTAACCACCATCTCCGCCGTCAATCAACTCCGCTCCGGCAATAAAAATCCTAATCTCCAGAACACTATTTCAGCATTTTCACTCAATCTTTTGCAGAAACTCGTTAGCTAATCAAAGCCGTCGCCGATAAGGCTTGCAAGCATGGAACAATGCATAAAACGAAATCGTCGAAGTTGGTGATTTGATTCTCTTTTGGCTCTGTTTGTCAAAGGAATTTTGTTCTTATTCAGCTTCAAAAGCAGTCTTTGAAGGTGTGAAACTGTAACAAAGCAGCGGAAATGGATGACTTTTCTATAAAAAAAAAAAATCAAAATTAGGAAAAATTTAATTTAAATTCATGACAAAAACTATATATATATATATATATATATATATATATATATATATATATTATATAAATAAATAATTATTCGAATGAAATTTCTTTTTGCTGGATTCCGGGAATTTACAATAATTTTTATTTTTCTTACACATTGTATTTAAAAAAAAATAATAATAAAAATTATATTTTGAATTCTCGAGGTCTTCGGGATTTGTGTGCAAGAATTTTGTAAGAAATAGCAGATTTTAATATTAATTCTAATAATTACAAAATAAATAAATAACACATCTAATAAAGCCTTAATAAATTCAATATTATTCACAATTTTATAAATGTCTAAACAATTATCTAAATGATTAAACGATTATTCAACGAGACGTGAATTATTCCTTGATTTTAAAAAATAAAGTTAGAATATGTTTGTTCAATAATAAGGTCAAAATATATTTTTTCACTTAAAATTTATTTAATAAAGTCAAAATATAAGGTCAAAGTATAATAGTTCGAAGATGATAATAGTTCGATAGTTAATGAATGGAACAAAAATGCGAACGTTTCTTTTGAATAGATGACATGTCATGCACGATAACGTTGATGAATGGCACCTTCTCAAAAACCCTCCAATAATATGCTAAAAAATTATACGTGAAATTATAAATTCAGTCTCTGAATTCTAAAATGCACCAAAAGTTTTGTTTACTTTCAAAATCTTATCCAAATAAAATCAAATTCTTATCCAATCATGTGCTTCAACATATTAAACAAAAAATTAAATACAAAGTTGTGTATCATTAAGCTGTTAGTTCTTAATTCAACTGCACAACCGTATATTATTAAACTGTTTGCTATTAAAAAACTATTTGAGTATTAATCTAGACTCTCAGCGCATAACACAGAAGATTCCCACTGGCATAAAAGGCAGTGCTTGCATCATTCCATGATTCTATAAGGCAGTGCTTGCATCATTCCATCATTCCATGATTCTATTATAATCTTACGAATGTGTTGAATTAAATTCAATTTCCATCTTTGTTAGGTGAGACTTCACATGGATTAGAGTGTGAAATGAAACACTTATCATTAGACACGTTTTTAAATGTTAAGGGAAAGCCTAGAAAAGCGCAAAGAAGATAATATCAGCTAGTGGCAATCTTATGCCATTATAAATAGTATCAATGTGCCTGTGAGAACGCTGGCTCCCAAGGGAGTAAATTGTGAGATCCTATATTGAGGAAGAGAACGAAACATTTCTTACAAGGATGTAGAAACCTAAAACCTTGAGCGGAAAATGAGAGTCCTATTCAGAAAAGCCCAAAAAAGACGGAAGAAGAGAAACTCAGGTACCAAAGATAGCAAATATAATATCAACTCGCAATGGGTTTGGACCCCTAGCCTGATCATGATCTCCCATGATCTCCCCTGATTTATCTGCAAACTTGCTCAAAACGCAGAAAGATTAGGGACAAAAGCTTGGGGTGCCTACTTTTCAAGAACACATCCAACGATGTAAAGGGGGCAGCATAGCGTTCTAAAAAGAAAATGAAGTCGTGTGAGCATAAACAGTGAGGGGAATAAGGTCACAGATTTCATTTGGGGTTGATGAAAAGAGGCTAAACACAGCAAGCAAGAAGAAAGTGTGGTGTGTAAGATCATCTCAAGCAATGACTACCAGAGAACTCCCATACTGAACATAAATCCCTTCATTTCTCAATATAGACATCAAACAATGACGATACAAATTCATCAACACCTATATGATCATCCACCCACAACTCAATTTATTATACTAATGACGATGAAAAATGATTTACCCACGTTCTCTTTTTGTAATCACAAACCAGAGGCCTTGGAAGCGTTAATCACATTACCCTCCGGATTATAGGAGCCTGCACCACTGGTAGTAGGTCTCCCATGATCAACCCCCACCGGAGCCATGGTCTGATAAGGCGGCGCGGTGGTAAAGTAAACATGTCTGCCGGTGTTGTCATACGCAACCTGAGTGTAGCCAGACTCATTCATCGCAACACTTGTCTGCATCACTTGAATTCCCTCTGTGGTGTAAGGTGCAACCGAACTGTGAACCTGGGCTTCACGGTATGCATGCATTCCGTAATAAGGCTGGTGCCCAACTGGTCCATTGATGGGTCTACACGTCTGAGCTTGAAATAAACCCCCGGCTGTTGGAATTAGATATATTGATTGGTCGGTCGACGGAGCATTGGCTGATGCAGCCACTGGATAACCACCGGAGATCACCTGCCTTTCAGGGAAGTACGCCGCAGGGACTGCCAATGGTACAGACAGAGGAACTGCTGTCGGTGGTGGAGCAATTTTCTCTGCAACCATTGGTGGGTGAGGATCGCTTGCAGAAGACTTGGAGTCAGTCTCATTGCTACTTCTCTCGGTTATCACTTGCTGCAAATCCTGAATCTGCCTCTGAAACTCCGACGGAGAAACAACAGGTTCTCCGACCACATGACGATCATCAGATCCACAATCAGACCCCGCCGAAATGTCCTTCACCGCCATATTCGACACGTTATGAACGGCGGCCGAATCGGTCAAGTTAGAACAAGAAACCGGAGGCGGATGGTAACCTTTATCAAATCCAAACAAGAAATCAGGATTCGAGACAGATCCAGAAACATCCACAGGCGGCGACGAATCTTCCAGAGACTGAATCCGCACAGAATTCAAAGCATCGACGAACCACTGCCTGTCCGATTTAGAATCCCGGGAATCAAGAATCGTCGAGGGAGATGGATTTAGAGGGAACAGAAAAAGCCTCATCCTCGCAGGCTTCGAGACGCGATGCAACCGGTCGTACTCTAACATCATATGTTCGAGATCCTCATCGTTAGTAACAGAAATCAACGCATCGAGATCTTCGCCAGGGAGTTGGTACTTAAAACAAACAGTAACATTGCAGAGAGCAGATAACCTGGAGGAGAGCGCGGAGAAACTGATAATACGATCAACGGCGAGAATCTTGGTGTCGCCACCGGTGTAAGTGAGTTGATTGTCATGAGCTCTGGGCTGTATCTTGCCGCCATAGCTGCACATGAATTTGACTTTGTAATTGTTGACGGCGTTGAGGTTGGAAGGCGTCTCGTCCCAAGAGGGGTTATCACTGGAACGAGGAGAGGAGTCTCGAGAATCAGCATAGGAGTAGGAATAATTTTCCATCGGAGAAAGAATTGAAAACTGGTTGAAAGGGAAGAAGAAGAAGAAGATTTTAGGGTTTGGTAGCCATTGGTGATAACGAGAGATTTGGGGGGGGAAAAACAAAAACTGAAACTGGAAGTTCAGTTACGGCGGTGAGAGAAGGAAGAAGAAAGCAGAGGGGGTTGTGTGGGGCCCAGTAGAAGTTCTATACTGACACGTGGGACCCAATATGTACTGTTAAAGTAATTTGACAGCGAGGTTTGTGCTGATTTTTTTTTAGAAACCAGAAAAATAATTGAATTAAGGTTAAGTTTACTGTTATGCCCTTGCTAATAAAATATATTTCTTAATTATTCAGGAATATATTTTTAAATTTTTAAACTTTCACTTATTACTAAATTAAAAATAAAAGTAAAGACTAAAATAATATATATTATTTAAAATAAATGATAAATTAGAGAATAATAATATATTTATAAACAAATAATACTCTCTCCATTGATATGAGATTTTCTGGAAAAACTCAACTCAAAGTCACTATGGAAGAAAGTCATGTTCGTCTCCGTTTAATAGTTTTATTTCTTAATAGATTAATAAAACAAAGGTATTGAAGAGCCATCAATGCAAGGGCCCATGAAATTCATGTGCCTTTGTCGTGGGCATTTTTCACGATTTTAAATTCAAATTTGAAATGGCATTTTTTTTTATTTCTCCATAAATTAATTATTTATTTGAATATTTATTATTATTATTTTGTCTTTTAGTACCAAAAAAATATAATGGTATGAGAATTTGAATGTTGAAGTGGAAATGTTAATAAATATAATTTTGAAAAATATTATAATTAATTAATATATTAAACGTCGTATAATTCGAGAAAGACACCATTACTAAAAATTAAGATTTAGAGTTTAGGGTTTAGGGTATAGTTACGAGAGAAATCCATGCGAGCATTGGGCTTGGGCCTAATATTGGGCTCAGATTGACTTTTTTGGGTCATATTATACATCTTGGGCTTTATAAAATTGTAACCGTCTAACTGTAAATGAAACCCAAATTAAATTTGATTCTTTTCTAATGTTAATTAAATTTAGGTTGAGTTTATCTTTCGGTAATTTGAACGATGATTTTTTACATTTTCGTCGATAATAATATGTAATTAGATATATTAATAATGGATTCGAAAATTTTGTATAGATGGACTTTCTAATTACTTAAAGAAAAATAATGGTCTACATTAATCTCTGAATCCCCGAGGTTTCCATCACTGACATTGGGTGCTCCTCGAGCAAAGGCGTTCTTCTTTGGATAAAACTTAGAGAGCTGCAATGACGCGGGATTCTTCCAACCCCTTTCTATCATTAACATACGAACGCTAACCTTCTCAACAAAAGACATATGTTTGAATCAGTTGAACTATTTTTTTTTTTTTTCATTAATGTCAGAGGTGGAATACCGACAAACACAAGCTTAATTATTCGGTTTTGTTTCTTAAATATTCTCATTTGTTCTTCTAACTCGTAAAAAATCAAACATGGAAAACGTTAAGGTCGAGTTAATTAATTTTTACCTCTTTGTTAATTAGATTCTAATGATACCAATTAAGTTTAACTAATCAAAAAATGAGTGTGCAAAATCTTTAGAGATCAATTATTATGCTGAAAGTCAAAACCATAAAAGGTAAATCATGTACAAATTGGTAGAGACCCTAATAACGATTAATGAAGTTAATGACATTAATTAGTGCCTTAATTAGCTAGACAAAAGCAATTGCCATTAATTAAGCATTATTTATTTATTTAATCCTTTAAATTTAATAAAATTTGATGATCCCTAGAATTTAGGTCACGGGGTATGACATGTTCCTGTTGGAAAGAGGTCCACTTCTTGGTTCCCATCACCAAAGAATGCATGTCCTTTCAACTAAAGAGTTTTTAATTTTTTTTTAATTTTTTTTACTATTTAATCAATTTCTCGATAATAGGAAAATTTAAACTTCTAACTAAAAAAAAAAAAAAAACATGTCATATTTTATTTAAGGTGGAACTGGAAACAAAATATTTCTTATAAGCGTATGAAAAGTTCTTTCTAGTAGACATTTTTTAAGACCGTGAGGCGACGACCATACGTAGCAGGCCAAAACAAACAATATCTATTAGCGATTGACAGACCATATCTACTAGCGGTGATAAGTCATATAAGGGTATGGAATCTTCTTTCTAATAAATGTGTTTTAAGACCGTGAAGCCGACAATTATATGTAACGGGCCAAAATAGACAATATTTATCAGTGATTAGCAGACGATATCTACTAGCGGTGAGAATTCATATAAGGACGTGGAATATTCTTTCTAATAAATGTATTTCAAGACCGTGAAGCCGACGATTATACGTAACATGCCAAAACAGACAATATTTATCAGTAATTGACAAATGATATCTACTGGCGGTGAGAAGTCATACAAGTGTGTAGAATCTTCTTTCTAGTAAACGTGTTTTAAGATCGTGAAACTGACGATTATACGTAATGGGTCAAAACAGACAATATTTATCAGTAATTGGCAGACGATATCTACTAGCGGTGAGAAGTCATATAGGGTGTGGAATCTTATTTCTAGTAAACGTGTTTTAAGACCGTAAAGCCGATGATTATATATAACGGGCTAAAACAGACAATATTTATTAGCGATGGGCAGACGATATCTACTAGCGGTGTGAAGTCATATATAAGGGTGTGGAATCTTCCTTCTAGTAAACGTGTTTTAAGACCGTGAAGCTGACGATTATATGTAACAGGCTAAAACAGACAATATCTATTAACAATGGGTAGACAATATCTACTAGCAGTGTGAAGTCATATATAAGGATGTGGAATCTTCTTTCTAGTAAACGTGTTTAAAGACCGTGAAGTCGACGATTATACATAACAAGCCAAAACAGACAATATTTATTGACGATTGGCAGACCATATCTACTAGCGACGAGAAGTTATTTAAGGGTGCGAATTTTTTTTTTAATAAATGTGTTTTAAGACTATGAAGACGATAATTATACGTAACGGACTAAAACAGACGATATCTATTAACAATTGATGAACAATATCTACTAGTGGTGAACATATAAAGGAAATAAGGCTGAGTAGTAGAGAGAGTGCATGTGTGTGGGACAGAGGGAGGTGGATGGGTGATACGCTGGCAAGGTCAGCACGTCAGATGAAAAATAGTGGGGGCACAAATTCACACCCAAAACTCATTTCTTCCCAAGTAAAATTAGGGGTATTTTTATAAATAAATTATTAACGGTTTCCATTTAAAACTATATTTTAAAAAGATTTATTAATGTTTTTAGAAAATTGATAAGCATAAAATTACGGATTAAATTTAATAAATTAATTAATTAATTTTAAAAAATTAAAATATATTAATTATGTACTACAATAATACTAGAAACCGACGTGGACACGGACAGGACGGGGTCCCTCGAAAGGGCTTCTTTCAAGTGGTACCTATGTGTATGTGTTTGGCATTGCGTTGCGTTTTGTTTTGGAATTTGGAGCCCTCTCAAAACAAGGCACTACCCGACGAAGTTTTTGCTTTTAGGGACCCCTCCGTTTCTCTCACTAAGTTTTAGAGAGAGAAATTAGTGGTTTTCAACCTTATAATTTCACTCTCATATTATATATATATATATATAAATATTGTGGGCTGCCCAAAAACCACTTTTGGGAGAGACCCTTTAATTGTAGGGTCCCTCCCTCTCTCTCTCTTCTATGCATGGGAATGGATTAGGGTCTCGTGATCTACTCGTGTCCCTCCTTCATTTGTCTCTTTAGCTTAATGGGGTGTTTTCTTTCTAATTTTATATTTGCTTTCATTTCAAACTAATCTCAACTAATTATTCTATTTCTTCCTCTTAGATTCCCTTAATTAACTTATTAATTACAAATCCTACCTTTTAAATACCATAACCTAACTAATTTAGTGATTAGGAGAAACGTCACGTGGATAGTGTAATTTCATTGTAACCGTCTAAGCTTACTGCTAGTAAATATTGTATGTTTTAGTCAATTACGAGTGCTTTTTTCCCATCTATCCACCCCTCTCTTTGGAAGCCCAACGTCTTTACTAGCACACTGGTGTCTGACTCTTGTACCATTTGTAATAACTCAAACCCACTGTTAAAAAATATTGTCCGGTTTGACCTATTTAGATTCAACTTCGTAATTTTAAAATGTATCTATTAAAAAGAAATTTCTAGACTACAATTGAGATTGGAGAAAAATAAGATGATTATAGTATAGCATGTGAATATGAGATTCCTCTAGGTTCTGTTTTTTTGGTACTTTCCTGACATAACCCATGTCTTATTCCAACACATAGATAGCTAGTATTACAACCTTTTACTTCAACTAACTATTTTTTTATATATAAAAAAAAAAAAAATTAATAAATAATAAATTATTGAGAGTATGTTGGACCTTTTGATTTATGAAAATTATTTTGTTCCGAGGTTTTAATAAGATCATCTTTTTTCGTTTATTCAACTTTTTAAAATTTTATTTTATAAATTAAACCCAATTTTTCTTTTAATTTTCCGAAATTAAATAAGAATTAGGGAGGCGCCGGCGGCCGGCTATGGAAGTTTCCGGCGGGCACTGCTGACATGGTGGCTCGGCAGAATCAACGGCAGACTTGGAGTTGACAGGATGTTGGTTTGGTGTATGTTCTGTTCATGTTCAGTCAAGTTGTGTGATAATTTGCAATGTTCTGATTTTACAGAAGAAATTAATAATAATAAATTTTGAATTACAAAGAGAAACAAATAACAATTTTATATATTTATGTAAATTAAATTAATAAAAATAGTAACATTCGTGAAAATGTTAATGTTGTTTTAAAAATTTTATAGGTATTTTTTAAAGTTTTAAGGTATTTTTGAAATAAAATAATAAATTTTTAAATATAATATATATGTTTGTTAGTTATGATTGGTTCATAATTATTTATTTATTTCTCTTTACTTCCCTATCTAAAATGGCAGTTTGTACTCGCATTTCTATATTTGTATTTCATTTTAAATATTTTTTAATTAAATTATTTAAACAGTTTATAATTTAAAACCCATTTCCATGCAAGTCTTTTAATTTT